CAGCTGGGTCTTCATTCTTTGCTGTAAAATAAATTAGTTTATCCTTTACTTGTCCGATGAGTCTTGATTCAAAGCCACTCCTCAGTCTCTCCTCCGTTTACGGTTTTCGTCCCTACACCTTGGATTGTTACCACTGCAGGCAGTCTGTGAACGCTTGTAAAGTTATTTATCTTCTCTCTATCATATACCCTGCAGTAATTAATCATTTTACTCGGTTTAATATCAAAGAAAACACAAAAATTAAATGCTAAATTGTACATGTAGACATGATCATGCGCAGCAGACGATTCCGGTCTCCCTCCAGTATGGCTGCCGTTCGTTTTGATGACGAGGGCTAAAAGGGGTTAATAGGTGTTTTTGTACATGATAGAAAACTAATCAGCTAGTTGACAGATTCAGCTATGACAAAGATTTTGATTTTATCATTTACTTTTTAAAATTAAAATGAAGGAATGTCGCAGTAGTTTTGTACCTGATGCACTTTAAAGGGCAACATAGTCAATAGTACGGTTTGACTGTATGAAAATACACCGTTTCTATAGATTTATTCAGAAAAAGAGAGAGTGAGGTATCCATGTATTCTGTACTATCATTAATAGATAATGTCATAATATATTTTCAACTGATACAAATAAATTGACAGTAAAGTGAAAACCATAATTTTACCATTTGGTAATAAGCCTGGTTTTTTTAAGTTAAAAAAAATGTGATGCCTCATATAATTACACTGTGTCATTGAATAATTTCCTGTATAGTGGACAGAGATCCTAAGAAGCGGAGGGTTAAACCTGTTCAGAAACATATGATGCAGCTGGATTTTGGCCCAGATGACAGTTCTGGTGATGAAGACTATGAAGGAGAAGAGTTCACAGGTAAGATGATGCAATTGTGTGCACTCTTTGGACTAGAAAATGTTCTTGAGACTTCATATATATAAACATATGAATAATTTTTTAAGTCTTTTTTCCCCAAGATTTTCCACCACAGTGGTCCTCTTGTTCTTATAGTAAATTGGGACTGAATATTACTGACTCGATTGTATTTTTTTGTGTCCTTTAGACTCGGAAGAGGACAGCGATGATTCCACGAGTAAAGGGTCCCCCAGAGCAGCTGCTGAGGACGTGGAGGATTGCAGCGAGGAGGATATTGAGGATGAGTCAGATGAGGACGAGGAGGAAGAGGAAGGAGAGGAAGAATCCATTGCTGGCTTGATAGAGAGAGCAAGACAGATGTCAGACCAGTTAAAAGTATTTACTGATTGCTTATATCCTTTCACCCTCACCCTTTGAAATAGAAAGTCTCAACCTTTTTTTTTTTTTTTTTACATACAACTTTTATCGTTTTTTAAAAGACGATGATTTTAGAGAACATTTTTCTTCCCTATTTTGTATATTTTATTGGCTAACTTAAAGGGATAATAACTCTTCATTTTGGCCAAAAAATTAATTTTCCTGGAGTAAACAACAATTTTCCCATACTTACCAATGGTTAATGAATCCATTTTTACATTCAAAGTTAGTCTCTGTTTTTTTTCTATAAAGTTTGGTTTTTTGTTAAAATCTCTTAAGAGATTATAACAGAGTACAGCCATCAGTGGAGGTCACGTGGTCGGAAGACAAGCTCAGATATCAGAATAATAGCTATAAATGCCATTTTTGTGGTTAAACAAAATATATTATATTTATATGAGTTGTTCACAATGTTTTTACTGTGAAATTTAGATATCATACGAAGAGTTATTATCCCTTTAACCTTTATCTTTACTTGGATTTGACCTTTGTAACCAGTTTTGAAGCTGTATAATGCGTACGTCTCAAATCTCTCCCCCTCCCCTCTTGAATTCCCCTACAGACTGGCACTTATGATTTATTTTGCTCGTCTCTCTTTCTGTCCTACAAATGATGGGAAAATGATATTGTTAGATAACTGATGAAAAATGTGAGGTGGAATGAAAATTTGATACAGTGACTGTAAAAAATTTGGTAAAGTTCTGATGAAGAACAGACTCCAAAGTAACCAACCAGTAAAGTATGACTTATTGATTGCACAATGACTTACTTTGTATATTGAGTAGTACTGAATATTTTCTAACAAAATTGCCTATTTTTTAGGTAGAAGGAAAGTCTGGGCTAGCTTCCAGCAAAGTCAAGATTTGCATCTGTTGCGTTTGCTTGGGAGAGTCGAGGTAGAAGTGTATTAGTTTTGTAAAGTGTAATCCCTAATGCTGTACAGTAATGGAACTCATCCAAGATGTCATAAAACATGACTGTCAGCATTGCATGCTTTTATTTAAGTCTACATGGGGTAGTGATATCACTCACCTATTTAACCAAATGTTAAAACGGACTTAAATTGGCTCAACAAAATGGGTCGTTTTGGTCAAATTTAAACCATTTGGAGAAAAAAGTTGTAAAAGGTAGTGATTTGGCTGAGTGAAAAATATTGCTAGCAATACTCCCAATCTAGAAAATGTCCATGGATTTGCAGGAGATGTGGTTTAACTTTTATCAATGAACATGAAACTCTTTGCCTTGAATGCTTTGTTAGAAAGCAAGACAGAAGTAACAAAATATTGTGATTATACACTGTTATGCAAAATACTAAATTCTACAAGTTGAAAAATTAACCAGAAAAAAATCTGTTGATAATACAATTTCTGTCAGGCATTATATGTTGCTGCAATGAAAGCATTAGTCTGCCATTATTTCTGGCACTGCTCTCTTCCAAATCCCACAAAATGCTTGACTACACGCTATCATCTTGGATGATTCCCATTCAGTATCTATTATTCAATATAATGTAATGGCATTTATGGATATTTTTACTCTTTTTAATGACTGGTAAGGACTCCATAATGCCCTAGCAGCTTTGGGCATTATGGAGTCCTGACCAGTCATTAAACATTTTTATGCACACTCAATTTTATGCCCCATTGTTAAAATTATTATTGCAACTTGCTTTTAAATCACATTCTTTACTGTATAAATTGTTTTAAAAACTTGCTATATAAAGAAAAGAAACAAGACACCCAAAGCTGGCAATTGGTAAGTGTTACATTAAGCATGACGCTGGATTGTGACCCTGCTAAATTACATCAAAAAGAACCTTAGAGCGTATGCCACTGCAATACCTATACAAGTCACTGTAACAATAAGATTTTTTTTAACTTTGGAAATGTAACCTTAATTTTAATTTATGCAAGTGAAGATAAAACTAAAATATCTAATTAAAAGTCCTATATCCTATATTTCAAAACATATTAGTATCAGTAGATGGATGTGAAAATTTGTTTTGACAATAGATTTGAAACTGTTCAGGCCTTACCCTTTCTTA